ACACAGCCCAATGAGCAAGCTCAGCCCAACCCCCCCACCTCCACAAATACACACCCAATGACCACCCGCGCCAAAGCTGGCATCCACTGCCCCAAATCCATCCTAAACCTTAACACTTCAGCTACCATCTCACCACTTCCCCCAACCTATCGTAGTGCACTGAAAGATCCTAACTGGTATGATGCAATGTGTGATGAATTTAATGCTTGAATAAAGAATAACACATGGGAATTAGTACCCCCCTCCCCCACTCAAAATGTTATCACTGGCAAATGGCTTTTTAGACACAAATTTGGCCCCACAGGTGATCTGTCTAGGTACAAAGCTCGTTGGGTAGTCCGAGGGTTCAACCAGCGTTTCGGCATTAATTACAGTGACACGTTCAGTCCGGCCATCAAACCGGCCACCGTCCGGATTGTCCTTAGCTTGGCTCTCGCTCGGGGCTGGCCCATACACCAGCTTGATGTCAAGAATGCTTTTCTCCATGGCCACCTTCAAGAAACCGTCTATGCCAGTCAGCCTTCTGGGTTCGAGGATCCATCACGCCCACACCACGTTTGCAAACTCAAGAAGGCTCTTTATGGCTTAAAACAAGCCCCTCGCTCATGGTATCAACGGTTTGCTGGATTTCTACACCACATCGGATTTCAGGGCTGCAAGACTGATACTTCCCTGTTTGTTTACACACGTGGCACACACATGGCATACTTGCTTCTTTATGTTGATGACATTGTGCTCACAGCCTTGACGACCATGCTCTTATCCCAGATCACAGAGCGCTTAAAAGGAGAATTTGCCATGACAGATATTGGGGAACTTAATTTTTTTCTCGGCATCAATGTTCAGCGCACCAAACAGGGACTGTTCCTACATCAGACTCAGTTTGCCCACGAAATTCTGGACAGAGCAGGTATGACTCACAGTAAGCCCATCTCTACTCCCGTGGACTCCAAAGGGAAATTGTTCGCTACAGATGGTGACCCAGTCCCCGATCCATCTCTTTATCGGTCCCTTGTTGGTGCGCTTCAGTATCTCACTTTCACCCGACCCGATCTCACATATGCAGTCCAACAGTTATGCCTCTATCTTCACGCTCCTCAGATGCCCCATCTTACTGCTTTAAAACGGGTTCTCCGTTATCTACAGGGCACCTCTACCTATGGGATCACTCTATCCCGTAGCTCCACCGATCTACTTCAGGCCTACTCCGACGCTGATTGGGCTGGTTGTCCTGACACACGACGATCCACATCTGGCTACCGTGTTTTTCTCGGGGACAATCTCGTCTCATGGTCATCTAAACGACAAGGAACCACCTCTAGATCTAGTGCAGAAGCCGAGTATCGAGCCGTAGCAAGTGTTGTTGCTGAAACCAGTTGGATCCGAAATCTTCTACTTGAACTCCATCAACCACTTCGCCGAGCAACCATCGTTTTCTGTGACAACGTCAGCGTCGTTTACTTATCCTCCAATCCAGTGCAGCATCAACGTACCAAGCATGTCGAAGTTGACATTCACTTCGTAAGAGACAAAGTAGCGCTGGGTCAAGTTCGAGTCCTGCATGTTCCCTCTTCCTCCCAGTTCGCAGATATCTTCACTAAGGGGCTGCCTTCGATTATCTTTACTGACTTTCGACACAATCTTGGGGTTCGTAGATCTCCAACGGAGTTGGCAGCATGTTAAATATGTTAAGCATATTTATTTATATATGTTAAGTATATTCCTTGTATCAATTATAATATATACCATAATTGTATAGGATCCATATATAATATTGTTTCCTTATTGTAAACCCCTCCACTTTGTATATAAAGGGAGGTAGAATCATTGTATTAATCAGAGAAAATAATAATTCTTCACAGGAAAGACTTTTTGGGACGAAGGGAGTATATGTGTTAGTTAGGGAAAACACTAAAACTTGTCAAAGACCAAGTTTGTGAAAAGCTGACCCATCTGTCCATCTACTAAAACCATACACCATCAATACTAAGCTAATCAAACGACAAAGGCACTTACCATTTTGGATGCAGCAAGGCCTTGGCAACTGCTACGAGTCTTCATCTTGCGGCCGCCAGGTCTTCCTTGTGTTTTTTTCTTCACATGAAACTGAAGAAGTTGATCACCACCACTTCCGGCGACAAGCTCAAACCTACAAACATACCCCTTGGCTAGCGTGTTGGCTGCATAAAAATTCGCCCATTCCCCATGCATTAAAAACTCGCCATGTTTCTTATGTATTTTGATCCGCCATGTCCTTCCCGTCTCATCCTTTAGGGGTATCTATCTCTTCGTTGCAATCCCCATTTTATCCACGAAGCGCTTTGGCATTACCTGGGTGGTCAAGAAAAAGAGAAAAAGACGATTCAAACATATTGTGGAGATTAGAATTAAATCAAAGGAGTCCAAATATATTTAGACATCATGCATTGGCATGTGTGATGTGACATCATACATTGTCATGTTTGTGATTATGCATTGACATGTATGACAATATGCATTAACATGTCTGGCGTTATGCCTTTGTTTGACATTATACAGTTGAATGTCTAGCTAACATTATATATATTGACATGTTTATCATTATTCATTTTGTGTGTCGTATTATATGTTGTCATGTTTGACATTATATTATACCTTTGTTTGATACTATATATATTGACCATTAATGTAGAGCACTGAAGCAGCGCCAATGGTAGGCCATCGTGGTCACGATGAGCCAATGACAGTTGCGTTGTATGTAGTGCCAGATCATAGCTGTGGGGGCGGTTCGTCGCAAGGTGGCAGCGGCAACGACACATCGGGGTGGTAGCTTATTTAGGGATTACAATTATTTTTTTATATTCTAATTTCTCAATGAATTTAATTTTATGTTAAGAAAATAGATATATGTCCTATACTGATTAGGAATTAAATTTTTTGCTCCTGTTTCGTTCTACAAAGTACTCCGTATGTTTAATCATATTCCAATATTTTTCTCTTTTATATTGTCCAAAATCCTAAATAACATCGATAAAAACAAAACCAAGAGGGCCGGTGTGTACCATTTTAACCATTTCTCTACCATGGTAGGCGGGAAGGATGACAGTGAAGCTTAGGTTGGTAGTGTGGACCAGGGAAGGGCCATCCGACGGCATTTCAGATTCATCTTCGGTTTTGATTTCTTCCTTCACATCAACATAAATTTTGGTTGATCTTTCATCCCATTCACCTATTGATCCGATCCATAGTTTAGCTCAGAATAAATCAATGTAAAAATATTGGTTCAACTTAAATTTTGAACGGCTGCATGGTATGTAGGTTTGATTAAAATGATTAATAAGCTCTGTCTTTGAGTTTTGACCTTCATCTTCTGTTTATTTGCTATTTTGATATGAATTGAACAATTAAACACTCTGTCCCCCGCACACTTTGATCCATTAATGAAAAATTTCACCAAGAATAACCTATTTTATTCATTCACAGTTAATGATACTTTTATGATATAAAGAGTGGTGGTCCCAAAGTGGTGAAATACAAAGTCTAGAGGGGGGTGAATAGACTTTGTTACAAGTTTAAAATCTTTTTCGTTTCTTTTGAAAACGAGAAAATGAGTGTTAATCTAGAGTCCTTGTGAACTTTAGATTGTGTGCGAAATTTGGTGGGTGGAGTGAGCAGTAATTAATATGGATAGGTTAGTTTTCACAGTTAATATAAATGCAAGTAAGAATAAAGATAAGAGAGAGAGACACGCAAACTTTAACGAGGTTCGAAGGTGGGGTAATCCTTCTACGTCCTCAAAATCCACTATGCAGTTGGTTGTTGAATAATGAACCAACAGTTACACTTGTGTGAATTTCTGCACGGTATATCTTCACAAGACCAATGTTGCTACTGCACTCGTGCTGGCTTTGTTGTTCCTTCGAAGGTCAAGCTTCTTCAACAACTGCAAGATCCGAACAATAGGACTTGCAAGATCAACTTGTAAGAGAGTTGACCTACCCCCTTTTAATCAATAAGTTTGATCAAAAGTAATATCCTTCAACGTGGTGTGGTGCTTGAGGCAAGGAAACCTTCAAGTGTTTACACTATAGCTTTTTGGAAGGAGGAGAAGTTTGCTTCTGGATAAGGAGTTTAGAAATCTCTCTTTATCAAGCTTTTTGGGCTAACTGTGAATGAGATAGCTTTAGTGATTGCTTCGTTGTGTTGTTGTATCAACGTATCTCATCATATTCTCTTCAGTCTTCCAAGGATGCTATTTATAGCTGGATTGGATAATCTATCCGTTGAATCATAAT